TATTTTTTTGAGCGCCAAATATTTTTTATTTTCATCAAATACTTTTCTGATTTTTAGTGGTTTGGAAATGACGGGGAAACATTTTGGAACTCCCATAGGCTATCGGGCATAAAATAAGGGCCGGGCATTTAAAGAGAAATAATGCCTAAAAGTTTATCTAAAAATTAGTTTTGAGTTTTGTAAAATTTTTTTGTTGTGCACATTCTTTATATTTAAATTATATCAAAATTTGTTTTTTCTCAAAAGAAAAGCAACTAAGATTATGTATTTTTGAATAAGTATTAAATTTAGAGTTAAAATTAAAATTAGAGTTGTTTTTGTTGAAATCTGGCTTTTTGGCCTTCCAAAATTCTGAAAATTTTCGCCTGCGGTGCAAAAAACGGATGTAATAGGTTGATTTATAGCTTCAAATCCTTCTAAAAAACAAAAACAACGACGCTTTAAATTTAAAACTTTGTAGATATCCTGGACTCCTCAAAATCATAAACTTTGTTGCTTTCCTACTTTTCACAAACAATTATTATTTTACCAAATTATCCTTTCTTACACTGATTTTTATATTAATTTATTTCAAATTTTCAAACATTTTTTCGTATAAATCTGGGTAAAAATGTAATTTTAATTTAATAGAATTTTATACAAATTAACTTGAAATTAATTAATTATCTTGTCCCCCCCCCTCTTTTTATTTAGTGAGATAATACATATTATCAAAAGATCCCCTTTAAAATCCCCCTTTAAACAATTTACCCTTAAACACATCATTCTTATGTAACATGACCGGAGTCTTATTTGTTAGGCGAACCTAACTTATTGAACATTCTCGCACTTCATCCACCAACATTACACATAAAACAATTTACCAAACATTAGAATCGAAACATGTTATCAATTGTGGATGAACACAATAAAAAAGAAATGAAGTTTCAATATACATAGTATGTAATTCTTGAGTGGAATTTTTGTAGATTTTTTCTACCATCCAAAACAGAATTATTCTAGGTGGTTATATCATTTCCGGACGGTTGAAAAACAATCACTTTTTAATAAATTTAATTTATCTAGGGATGGATAGGATAATCAATATAGAAAAGAAAAGAAGCTAAAATATTGAATTCAAGGAAAGATATCTCAAAAAATACAAGTGGTTATTTCATTTCCGTAACACTGTAATATTAAAATGAATGGCAATAAAAATGTTCATTTTTAATTAAAATTAAAAATGTTATCCGAATGAAAATCACGCGTCCAAATTCTTCAACAACTGGAAAAATCTTAGTTAATTAAACGGCCCATTCTAAACAAACTTTTTAATTTTATTTAACTATTAATAAACCAGTTTTATTTAAATTCTCTATTAATAAACCTTAATTAAAAAAGAAGAGAATTCTCAAATTTTATTAGCGAACTGATTAAATAAATATTTAAATTGAAATTTTTGACAATTGCCAGTTGCCCTTGTAGCTCAGTGGTTAGAGCGTCTGTCTTGTAAACAGAAGGTCGATGGTTCGAATCCATTCTGGGGCAATTCTTTTTTTATCAAATTTTAGAATTTATTTATGCGAACAAACAAAGTTAAAAATATATTTACAAATTTAAATTAAAATAAAAAATGAATGAATTAATTTATTCAGAAATAGAGCAGGCAACGCCAGCTAAATTAGACTTTTTAACGTTTCCAATCTGCTGCGGCAACTCTTAATTTAATTACTAATTTTTAAATTTCGGCTAAATTTTCATGTTGTTGTTTTCTTGTTCGCAAAAAAATTTTTTTTAATTATTTAAATCCTCTTTTAATATTTATTTCATCATTTTATCTCCAGGTAAAATAGCCTCATAAAGCTTTTGAAGCAATTCAGAATTTTCAAAGAAATCGTGCATTTCGATTGGTTTTAAGCGTTTTAACTGCGAATAGTTTTCCGAAAAATTATCTTTGAAATTATTGACAATTTTGAGAATTTTTTTGATACTTGCCAAAACTGAAAATTATAATGATTATTTTGTTATAATTTGATTAATTTTAATATTTGTCAGGTTCGGGTTAATATTAGTAAATAAAGGCGTGTTGGAATAGAAGGCCCTCCTAACCTGGAAGAGCAATTGAATAACTTACTATGAATATTTTGCTAATTTATTCGTTTTTTCTGAAGATAGTTGGCCAAATACTTTCGACTTAGGTTTTTAGAACCGAGCTTAATGAACTTTAATTTTAGGGGGAAATTTTCACTGACTCGAAAATCGAAAATCTCAATTATTAATACATTATTCATTTTACTTACCAAGATCAGCTGTTTCAATGCGAGAATCAATTCTATTAAGAATTAATTCGTTGCCATTTTCAAAAAACAAATGTGTATTCTTAGCGAGAAAATTGTCTGCTTTATGAATAATTTTGGAGAATTTTTCTATCGCTTCATCTGAAGATACTTTTGAATCCTCCTGGAAATATTTAAAAATTAAAAATAACACTAGAATAAAATCTCATACTTTTATTTTAAGCAAATCCCATAATGGATATTTAATATTTTTTTCGCTAAAATATCCAAGTAATTTTTTTGGATCGTCTTTGTTACCCTCCTCCTCAAGTTTCTTCAAAACCATCTCAACTTCAAAAATCAGAGGAGTTATTGAATAGATTTGGTAACCCTCATGAAGGGCCACAAACAATTCAGCAGCGCTTTTCAAATTTTCCTCAGAAGCTCTTTCGTTTTCATCAAAAGACATTAAAAGATAAGAGATATCAATCAAATTTTTAGTATCATCTCGTGGAGCATTAAAAACATCGTTACGATTTAACAGTCCAGTTTGAATTTTGAATTCGTCTGTATTCTGGGAATAGATTTTTACTTTGATTTAATATCATTAATAGGTAGGGTTGGTAAAAATAAAAATATTTTTGTAGTCTTAAGAATTGGCAACATTCATTTTATGGGGTTCGTTCAGATTTAAGTCATAAATCTTTGGGATTTTAATAACAAGCGTTAATTCAACAGCTGGTTTTCATAACATTCTGTTGCTACAGAACAAAATAGAACGTTCGTTGTTAAATTTTGTGGTAATTTGGCCATCCTTTGTGGCCAAAATTCCGCAAGTAAACAAATTTCATGAAGCCAAACCCAATCCAATAACCCAATCCAGTTTTATACACTCAAATTACTCAAATTAACCTTAATATATTCTTTTATCTTTTTGGCAAGATTCCCTGCATTTGAATGAAACATTGGATCAGTTTCTTTTTCAATAATTTTTGCCTTAGTAACTTTTTTACTCTTTTCGTTTTTTCCAGCTTTTTTATCATAAGGAATACTGTTTAAATAATGCTCCAATTCTTCTCTTTTCTGATAATTTTCCTTATCATTTTTATTCTGTTCTTTATACTCTTGCGAAGCCTCCAAGGTTTTAAAAGCTTTTTCACTTCCAGCATCTTTTCCAGGTTCATCATTCTTTTCAGTGCTATATGGAACACTATGTAAATAATGTTCAACAGCAGCTCCATTGCCTTTTTTAGCCTTATTCATTTTATGAATGAGATCATTTTCTTTACCATTAATGAGCTTTTCTGGATTTATATTCAAAGCTTCTGAGATTTTATTTGATGTTCCATTCACGGCTTTGAGATTCTTTCGGTGGTTATGGCATGCTACCGGGAATGAAATATTTCCCGGCATTAAATGTTTGGTGCCTTTACCACCTCCGCTCATTTTCAATTTATTTTCAATTGTTGATGATCGACCGGAACAACCTGAATTTTTAAAAATATTTTACCAGGACATATTTTACCAGGACATTTTACCAACACTAACCATGACAGGAACTTTTCCTTCCTTAAATTTATATACTCCTACGGACTACTTGTTAATTTTACAATAAACGTTTAAAATTATTTTAAATAATTACTCGGGTGCATTGAAAGCATTGTTGCTACTTGACGGTTGTATAGAAAAACAATCGCCTCAAGAACAACCACAGTTAACGTGAATGAAGAAGGAGACATTTTATTATCCTTAATTAGGGGTTGCTAGATTTTTTTTAAATTTAATTTTTGAATAAACAAGCTTTCTCTTCCTCCTTTTAAAGCCAAGAATTTAATTAAAGTGCATGTTGACAGACATGACGAAAAAATTTCATAAACAAACAACCTTATGAAATTTAAAAATCATCTAATGAAATGCACTTTGTCAGTCAAAAATAATATTTCCAATTATTTCTTAATTTCCTTTAATTATTTTATTTTAAAATTCATTTTTAAATTTCTCAGAATTAAAAATAAAATTTGCTTTTAAGTTTCAAGTTATGAATAGATTACATAGTAATATTTATATAATGAAAAATTCTGAGCAGTAATTAGCATAGTCCCAATGATGTATTAATTATCCTGAAAGACAAATGGAGGGAGTAATTATACTCTGACAAATGAGTGTCGATTTAGAAATGAAAACTGGGGAACTTAAAACTTTGGTGGCTTATAACTCGTTTCCCGTTACCATTTTGCTAAAATGGTGAAAATTTCACAATAGAAGAGGGTATAATTTATATGTCTACAAAATTTCATCCCGAAGTCCCACTGACACCCAACACACTCTCCCTTGTTATTAGTTTGTTATTATCGGATTATTATCGGGTCATATGCTATATCCTATTAAGTCCAGTTTCCTGAACGAGATTATTAAAATAAGAGGTCGGTTTGATCCAATTTTTCAATCTAAAAGAATTGATAATTGACCAACACGTCTGATCATTCATTTATTTGTAACAATTATGTATATTTTTCAGAAAATATTATTTATTAATTATGTCCAATAGTCACATTCCGGATAACATTCACCAACATCAGGTTCACTTAAATGTGCCAAAACCCTTCCTTCTTTTGGGAATGCAACACCTCCTGATTTTTCTGCTTGTGCTAGTTGACTTCTGACTTCTTCGACAGAAATTCTCTAAAAAACAAGAGAAGTGTCAGCTAGCCAAAAAATGTCATTTAAAGACCTATGGTCCTTTAACTAAAAAATTAAAAATAATTCTTTTGCCTTTTCAGTTCTCCAATTCCACCCAGCATATCCACCAATACATTCATCGGGAACGGGCACTTTCTTAAAAGGTGATTCCCAACTGGATGAAATATTTTGTGCTTTCCAGCCTAAAAATTATTTCTAAGAAGACTAAACCAAAATGATTAACCATGCAGCATAAAATCACGTGCGGACCAAGAATCTGTAGTTAAAAACCAGTCTCGTATCCAAGCATGCCCTCGTCTTAAAATTCGCAATTTACCCGGCCATATACGTGTAGCCCCTTCAAGGAAATATAATTTTATACACTAAATAACATTTTTTAGACCTAAAGCTGTTTTAACACAAGTCACATAGCCCATATAACGCTCATAGTTATTAGCTAAATTCCAAAGCTTTTTACAAGCCTAAATATATTTTCAAATGTTTTCTAATAAAAATTACCTTAATTTCAGCTTTAGCACCTGGAATAACAGTTTGTAATATATGTAATTGTAAGGCACCATTATCGGCCCCAGAAAAATTTTTAGATTGAGTGTATTGCATATTTGCCCAGTTCATTATAAAAGCACGAGAGAACTCGCTATTCTTTGCCTTTAAAATAAACTCTAAGTTGCTTTAATGGAGGATCACTATAATTTTTATGCAGTTAACTCTAGTTATAATCAACACCGAGATATGTAGATTAGAACTTTTTTGGTTTACTATACATATATGAACCCTTACAGACGCAAAGTAGAAATTAAAGAGCAAAATAGCTGGTATAAGTACTATATCCATTGTCCAATATGCTTGTATAATTGGCAAGGTTTTAACGGAATAATAATGTAAGAGTTTAGCAAAATTAAGCCACCGGGCAGGATTCGAAACTGCGACCGCTATTGCTAGGCGCTTTCGCTCACCAGATACAGACGCTCTACTACTAAGCTACCGAATCCTTAGAATAAGATCAAAGATGGTACTTCTTTTCTTATTTTAATGCAACATTAATTATTAAATTTAATCAAAATTTAACTAATTATTTACCAAATAATTTCCAGAAGCAACTTCCCAGTTAAAAAACCGTTCATAAAAAATTAAATCAACTCTATCATCAATCCATTCCTCAATACAATGGTTTGGGTTAACAACACCTGCATCTGCATCCAATACTAAAGTCCAATCAGAATCAGCTAAATACACAGCTACAGCACAATGTTTTTTAAAGAAAAGCTGAAATGAGTTAAATAATTGGTATATCCCTTCGAGAAGGTATGCTGATGGCTCCCGGACAATGCGTCAGTGGACAATGCGTGAGTGGAAAATGCGTCAGTGGACAATCGGTCAGTATTGATAAAAAGTGATTAAAAGTGATGATATAAAGAGATAAAAATCCACTTATATCTCTCCAAATCGAATGATCTCCATCTTTATCCAACCAAAAGGATTAATATCTCTGTTAATCCTCCCAAACCCGGTTTATCGGTCTTAATATCAATAAATTGCCTATATCTCTTTTAAACCCCCAAAATCCCTTTTTAAATACTCCTAATCTGTATATATCCCATCTTTAGTCCTTTTATATCACTTTTTATCCCTTTACATAATCACTTTTAATCACTTTTTATCAATACTGACCGATTGTCCACTGACGCATTTTCCAATGACGCATTGTCCACTGACGCATTGTCCGGACACGATGCTGGCAGCAAAAAACTCCTTCATACCTGATCATGTTTGCAATATTTATTTGTACGTTCATCATGATCTAAATCAACAAGCTTAAATGTATAATTTGTGGCTCGCAAATAGCATTCTAGTGAGCGCTGAGCAACAGCATAGTGACTTAAAATTATGGGGTTTTTTAGTTAATTATAAATATTTGTAAGATGGAAAATTAAAATAAATTTGCCTATAAAATTGAAATTTGACTTTTTTTTAAATTTTTAATTGTCATTCCTAATTATTTTATTTTAAAAGCACCGATTTTTACGTCTTGTAAGAACTCTCGACAACAATCACGAGAACAGTCACTTTTCCAAATATTGGAGAACATATACCCATATTAATCCTTGAATTAGCTCGGATATGTTTAGCTGTTGTTTGCATGGAGATTTGATTATTGACTTTAAAATATTTATTAGATTTACCTAGTATACAATCGAGATATCTTTGTTTATTTACTAAACTCTCTGAGAAATCACGGGATGGTTATCATTAGCCTCGCTCGAGCCAGAAACTCGAAAGATCGAGCGAGCCAAGACGAACCGAATGGAAAAAAATCAAGCTCGAAAAAAATGCACCGAACGTAAGCTCAATTGAAAACGGCATCCCTAGTTATTATCGATATCAAGATTTTCGATTTTTCAAGATAAAAATCAAGAATCAATTTACACTATCTAATTATTAACATACAATTAACATTTCCTATTTCTTCAGGCAACCTGCTAGCACGAGGAAGATGTAAATTACTATTCTTTCCAATTTTTACTATTTTTCTTTGTAAATTATAACTATAGTAATTGTTGTGATAATAGAAAATAAAAATTAAAAATATTAGTATTAATGAAATAAAAAGTATAAATTTAAATTTTTTTAGAATTGAAGCAAGCATCTGGTAAGTAAAAACTGGAAAATTAAACTTTTTTTTTGGCTTTAGTCTAGTTTATTAGTCAAATGAACTTATAAATTATATGTAAGCATTTATAGAAAGTTTTCTGTTCATGGAACGCATAAACAGGACAAGAACAAACAAATACCTTTTTTAGGATTACAAACCCGCATTAGACTCATAGGTTTATTTAATTATTACTAAAAGTAGGGTTGCCAAAATGGACCGACTCGGACCGAAAGATCGAGCCGGGCCTAGGATATTCGGCCCGAAAGTGACCAAAAGTGACTCGATAAAAACAAACCCGAAAAATTGCCTCAACCGTCGGCCCGACTCGAAAATGACAGCTCTAATTAAAAGTTAACGTTCAAACTTTAGTTAGTTCTCACGTTACAAAACATATTTTCTTTATATTAAAAATAATCTTACAAAAATGTACAAGAAATAAAATTATTTTCTCGTTATAAATAAACAGAACTAGATATTAAAAAAAAATAATTTTGTTCAAAAAAGTAAAAAGTAAAAAAATAGGAAGGGTGGTCCTGCTCTATTATTTATTGTTTTTAACGTTTTGATTCGCAGCATCTTTCTTCGTAAAATAATTTAAAAAAAGATGACCCAAATTGACTGAAACAAAATTTGAACGAAGAAATAAAAACGATGATAGAAGTAAATTTAATTGATTTATAATAAAAACAAAATTTAATTTTTTTTAATTTTAATCATTTTGGCCGTTTCCAAATACTAAAATGGAGGCACGCCTACACAAAAATGCAGTAAATCTTGACAAATACAAAAAGTAAATGATTAGAAGACCCTCTTAAGCATAAAGACATCGAAGACTCTTGATCTTGCCAATTGACTCAAGCCTTTTCTTGGGTTTTTAGGTCGTGGGATGAAGCCTTGTCTCGACTTGTTTGAGCTTTTTTAGATGTACAACCCTAAGAATTGAATTTTAATTGAACTCTCCTCTAATAAATTTTCTAAATGTGTTTTAAAATGCCCCTTACCCCACACCTAGAAATTTTTATTTTTATTTAAAAATCTTCGACGGGCTGAGTCGAATAACATCAAAATCCGAATGATTCGATAATTCTTAACAGAATACTAGCACCTGAATCTTCGACGTAATAAAAGTAGGACTGAAAATCATAAAAAGGAAAAAAACCCAGCAACCCTGCATGTCGGGGTTCTGTTCAAAGATAATGCCTACTTTACAACTTTAGAAATTAAATTATTTCGGTTTTTCTTTTTATTTTTTTAAATTTTAAATTCATTAAAGAAAGAATTCATTTTAGACTTCTTTAAATTTATAATCAATTAGGAAATGTTTTTGACTGTTTTTGATATTATCTGTCCAATAATATTTTCATGAATAAAATGTTATCATTCTTATCTTTGTTTTAAATACAAATATGTAAGTACATTATTTTTTCAATAGAAGAATATTTTATTTTGACCGAGATAATGGAAATTAATTCTTTATTTTTAACAAATTAATGTTTTTACATATCAGTAAGAAGATTATTTTATGTATTATTCTAAAAAATTCTGATTTGATTTAATTAAAAGTCTGGGCGTTTCTTAACCGAGTCATTTTTCTGTCATTTATTTTGTTTTAAAATAAAAGTTTGATAATACTCTAAAATCACTATCAATTTTTTTTTAATTTTAAAATAAAATCCCTAACTACAGTAGTTTTTAAATAATTTATTCTTATTAGGCATTTAATATTTTCTAAAAATGTCTGAAAATAAGAAAAGATGCGCAATCGTTGGCGCGGCAGTGAGTGGGTTACCTTCAGCCAGGTTCTGTTTAATTTCAAAAAAATGTCTTTAAATGAGTTTTTAATCTAAAGATGGGCAATTGAGTATGGTTATGAACCAGTTATTTTTGAACGTCTTGATCAGCTTGGGGGTCTCTGGCGTTACAATCCTGAACAGTTTGGAAATGATATAGCTAGTGTTATGAAATTTACAGTTATAGACAGTAAATTAAATAAAATAGCTATTTTAGTATTAATAATAATTTAAGCAAGCAAAGAAATGAATGCTTTCAGTGATTTCCCGCCACCAGATCACTTTGCTAATTATATGCATAATGTAGGAAATTTATATTATTATTATTGTTAAAGTTAATGAAAGTTGTTATTGACATGTTTCCCGGGGCAGGCGGGAACAGTAAAGTTCTAGAACCAGTCCATGGAAACGGTCATTTCCTTTATTTAGAAGATAAAGAATAATAATTAGGTAGATTATTTAAAAGGATAAAACTAATGAAAAGACTTTTAATGATTCTGATCAAAAATTTTTTGATTCTGATCTGTTTCATTTACCAAGCATATTTAATCAAGAAACTTGTATTTTTTTCAGATTAAAAAGTAACCTTTAAGAATCTTTCAAAGACTTATATTCAGCTATAATAAATTATATTCTGAGCTAAGATATAATATGATATTAGCTTTTTCCAGACTAAAATGATAGAATATTTGGAAATGTATACAAAACATTGGAACTTGGATAAATACATTCGGTAGTTAACATTGTTTTAAAAATGTCGAAATAAAGGTTTCAATTTTAAGCTATAGAAATACGGTAACTTCTGTGAGTCGGGCTGATAATTATGAAGAAACTGGGTGTTGGACAGTCTGTTGGGTGGATGAAAACGGACAAAATAAAAAAGAAATATTCGATTGTGTTCTTTTAGCTCAAGGACATCATGCAAAACCAAAAATTATTAGTTTTCCTGGCCAAGAACTTTTTCAGGGAAAGATAATACATTCACACGAATATAAGGATTCGAAAAACTTTGAAGACAAAGTATAATTTATTTTTACTGAAAGAGAATCAAATTTCCCATTAATTTACAATAGATTAACGTTGTAGTTGGTGTTGGGAATAGTGGAATGGACTTAGCGGTGGAATTGGGTAGATTATATTTTACGGAGATTTGCCCTAATTTTTTGGAATATTAAGGCCGTGTTAGTAAACTCTGTTATTTGTCTACGAGGAGAGGTGCATGGGTGGATAAAAGAGTTGGCCCTGGTGGAATTCCAGGTATAATTTAAAACGTAGGTAGTAGCTGACTGGATGTACTACATAGAGATTAGAAAAGAAATCCCCACAAATGTCAGGGGTAGGATTGTTGGTTCGGACCCGAACCGAAGGACCTAAGATTTTTTCAGTTTCGGATATCCAAAGATTTTCTTGGAATTACATACAACCCTTGTCAAGGATTTCTTATTTCTCTCTCATGTAAATTTTCCATGATTTTATTAGGAGACTATGCTACCACTCGTTTTAAATGCTGTTTTTGGGATGTTTTGATACCCGAAAATTTGCGTAGCTGGCTGATTATAAATCAATTACAGAAACGTTTTGACCATGCTAAATATGGAATGAAACCCAAACACTCATTTTATGGGTTTGTTTTTGTCGTTAAAATAAATTATCAAAAAATGATAGTCAACACGCAACGATAAGTGATGATCTTCCAACACGTATTATTACTGGATCTGGTATGTAAATTTAAAAAAATCTCAAAACTAATAATAATAAATTCTCTGTTAGTTGTGGTTAAAACAAATATTCGCGAATTCACCGAAAAAGGAATTGTTTGGACAGATGGAACTTTTACAGATAATATCGATAATGTGGTAGAAATAAAAGCAATATTTGTTAACAATTTAAAGTAAAAAAGCTTTTTAGGTAATGTGCACTGGTTATCATTTCGATTTTGATATAGTGGAGGAAGGGAAACTTATTCCAGTTAAGGATAACCAAGCTAAATTATATAAAAACGTGTTCCCTCCATCTCTTGCAAAATGGAATAGTTTGGCAATTATTGGGTTAGTTCAGCCGTCAGGTTCGATATTACCAGCAGCTGAATTTCAGGTAAATTAAGGACCTTAAAGTATGCAACGGAGTAGTTGACAGAAATGTTAATGAATAAATCAAAATCTGACCGAGAATAAAAAAATTAAATAATAACTTACTAGGTGTAAGGTATATCCGTTGATTGCCTAAGCACAGGTGATCTTATGGACGAGCATTATGTGTTAATGGATTTTCCCAACCATTACACTATAATTATTATTTATCTTTATTTCCTGTGTCACCTCCCATTCACATGCTTATGTTTATATATTGTTTATTGCTTCACCGATAAATCAGTTCCCAGTTAGTCAGTCTTTGTGTATATATGTGCCTATAAGGAAGAGCACACCGGTGTGGCTCAGTGGTAAAGGTTAAGCTTGGGTCTGGCCAACCCACAAGCTATCTTTAGGGATTATAATGGTTTAACTGTGCCTAGGTTTGGTTTTAGAATGGACCCAGCATGATTCCACTTAACTGGTAGCACCGGATGCCAAAGTGGTGCTTTGGCGATCCTGAGGCTTTTGGGCGGAAAATGGAATGGAAAAGAATATGGACATGCAGCATATGGAAAAACAACATAAAAATGGATTAATGGAACATGCTCTTGGGCAGAATATGGACATGGCACATGGATTGGAAATTTCGGCAAAAAATGGAAACATGAAAATGGCAGAGCAAGTTTAAAAATTTTAAAAAATGGGGACACTGGAACTCGCGCGCTTAAAAAAATGCTTCAGCAACTAAAAATAAAAGACCATGCATGGCAGAAGGGCTAGAAAATATTTTAGGGCAAAATTTAATAAAGAACTAAATATAGCATAAGACCCCGGGGCAGCATAAATAATGGGCAGAGTAAAATAAAATAATAAGAGTAATTTTAAGATGTAAGACCCGGGCGTTCAATTAAGGCTTAGGCCATTATAATAAATATAAAGAAAAAAGCCCTTTAAAAGAAAAGCCCTAATAAAAATAATTATGAATTTTGGAAGGTTGTATATTTCATGATGTAAGACCCGGGCGTTCAATTAAGGCTTAGGCCAATTAATGAGTATAAGTAAAAAAAATATTAAAAATATTAAAAAAATATATTAAAATGATAAATGCACTGATAAAAATATTAAAAAAAAAAAAAAAATAGAAAAATTTTTTAGATATAAATAAAAAAAAGGCCCTAATTAAGAATATGAGTTATAAATTATATATTGGGATTTTAAGACAATTTAAGTTTTTGATCTAGGTAATTAAATTTTTGTTTGTTTCTCCCAGAATAGTAAATAAGTAAAAAAAAATTAGGTTCAATCTCCTTAGGGAACTAAACGGGTTTTTTGTTAAATATTTTATAGGACTTAAAAAAAAAATATTTTTTTTTACTAAACTAAGAAAGTGATTCTAAACAGAAAAGGTGTAATATTACATAAAAAATTTGAATTAGTAGTGAAAAGTTGTATAATATAAGTATATTTTTTGAGGAAAAATTCCAGAAAAGAGTATAAATGTAAAGCGAAAGAGTGATCAATATTAGATAGTGCAATTAATAAAAGCAAAATCTCTAGGGATAAAATGGATACCAACTTTTTATTTATTCACATTCAAAATTCATAATTTTTTTCGTTTAACTTTTAATCTACTCATTATCTGTATTACCTATTCAGATTTATATTTTTGACATTTACATTATATTGAATTTTTTTTTCATTTTTGTTAAAAAAATAAGTTTATTTCATTCTTTAATTTTTTCTACGTCAAAAAAATTCATCTACTAAATTAGCGGAGAAAATTTGAACTTTTGTCTGCCTAGGCATTATATATTTTTAAATATTCAGACTACTTTCAGAGTTTTGTTTAAATGTGGGAAACTAGGCAAATATTTTTATTAATCATCCCAAACAAAACAAAGTCCATTGTGTGAAAAATTATATATATTTTTTCCCATTCTAGTAGTTTAAGCTCACTCACTATTACATATCTATCGGAAGCTATAATTTCCTTACATTATATTTCTTTTACACTTTCACCTTTACAAAATGAAATTAATAGTGATTCATATTTCAAACACTTTTTCTCACTAAATGTTTTATTGTTGTTTTTTTATAAGAAATTATTTAATGGCCTAGGCTATATTAACGGTTATATAATTTACTTTTATTATGTTTTTGAAATTTTTTTTTATTTTTTTTTGAAATTCACTTCTTTATTTATCCAAAAAATTTTCTGTGGATTTAAAATGCTCTCCTTTCAGTCAGATTAATCGGTAGAGTGGAGTGCATAAATAGCATGGGCCCGGTGCAAAAAAAATAAAAAGAACTCACTATTACATATCTATCGGAAAAATAAAGAGAACTTAAATGATATACATTTGTCCAGTAATTTTGAGAGAAATTAGTTTTTAAAGAAAAAAGGGATTTCGATAAGTGTTCTCTGTAAAGTAGATTATGGATTTTTCTTTTTCTCCTTTTTGTTTTTCTTAAAAACTATGTGAGTCGAGCAAGGGAGTTTAGATACTTTTATGAAATTTTAGTTAATTTGTGTTCAAATAATTTTATTTACAGTTTCAGATATAAGCTGGATAAAGGGTCCTTAGTTTTTAGAATCCTAAAATTTTGTTCTTTCTCTAGAATTAAAATTTAAGCACTGTTCCTTTTACTTTAAAATGAAATTTAAATTTATTTAAGTATTTATTAACTTCACTATTTTGTAGTTTATATCCTTCAATAGATTAAATAGTTGAAGGATTAAAATAGTATAACAAATAAATAAGGGACATATCAAGAAGAAGTAAAAATTAAAAAGAATAATTATAGGAAGTCACAGGCATCCAAATTAGGTTTAGGCCATTATAAGGATTATCTAATAAGAAAAGCAAAAGCCTCAGTTCAAACGTAATATAAATTGATCAGGCCCATATATTGTCAATAGTTTCAGAGATAATTAAAAAAAAAAACTTTTTAATTAATAAGAATAAAGATTGGAATGGATGTTAGCAAATAGCTAGAAAAGTTTTTATGGGCTGATAGAAAGTTTTAGAAAATAAGAAAAAGGAGTAGTAAAATATTTAAGTATTTCAAAAATAAAGAAATTTCTAGTCAAGAAAAAGCAAAGGCGCACAAAGATATGATAACAGCAATTTTAGTAAGCGCAATTAAAACAAAATCAAGCTCTTTTATTTAAAAATGGAGGCCATTTATTGTATTTACATTCAAACTTTAATTTTGTATTTCTTTTAATTTTTGATTTCTCCTTATCTTTATGGTTTAGGCAATAATCAGTATTTTCACTATTTTTATTTTACAATGAAAACATCATTTAGTTTAAAAAAAAACACTTTTATTAATATTTTTCTCTTTTCTTTTTGTTAAAAATCAACATTTAGATTAATGGGAAAATAAGAATTAAAAATAAAATTTTTTTTTGTCAATTTTCAGTAGATTTTGGGAGTTTTTTTTATGAGAGAAACTTTAAGGAAACTTCTTAATCTCAAACGAAAAACAAACATTTAGTACAAGGTTCATTTTCCTTGTCTATGTATATGTTTATTTTTTTTCTTTCCTTCTATCTGATCCTTGTTTCAAATAATTTTTATTTTTGCAAACAGTCATTTTTTTTTCATAATGATATTTCTTGAAAATTTTCTTTAGAATTTCTTTTCTTTTCCCAATAAAAAAAAAAAGCTCAAGATTTGGATGTTAAATGTGCCTAGGCAGAGTTTAGGATTTAAAAAAAAAAAATTTTGGGTTATAAAAAAAAAGAAGAAAGTGATAATTGATATATAATATAAGTATTAGAAGCCCACAAATTGAAATTTCAAGATAAACGGTTGTTGTAAATAATTTAAATAAAAGGGAGAATAAGTATTTAAGTAAAAAAAAGAAACTTAAAGCTGGGTATTTTCAAAATAAAGGGGAAAAAAGAATAGTGAAAAAGCTTTACTGAGGAGTTCAGCAGAAAAGTAAAATAAAGCGAAAAATACAATAACAAAGAAAGCTAAAAATTGATTCATAAAAGGTAGAATTTCTAGAGATGGCAGAAAATGAATCCTAATTAGTTTATGGTTTCTGTTGATTCAATCTATTCTTTATCTATTTATTAATTTTGGTGTTTAGGCACTCATCAGATTTCTATATTCTGTTTCTCTCATGTGATACTAAATTTTTATTTTTCAAAAAAAGAGGGCTTAGGTAATAGGCACTCACGAAATCCTTAAGGATAAAATGCTTATTATGTCATTATGTTCAATTTATTCTCTTAAACCCTTAAATTCAATATTAATAATTTTGTTTATTTCTCATTTTTTATATTGACGGGTAAGGAAAATTTATAATTTTTATTTGCCTAGACAACTTTCAATTTTTGTCAAATGAACTTTAAGAGTTTTTTTTTAAGTAGGGTAATTTTATATGCCCGAATAAATCCCAAAACCTTAGGAAAGGAGTTTCATGACAAAGTTCATTTAAAATTTTTTTTCTCTTTACAATTGATTAAGCTATTCGTACTTCTAATCGGCAGTCACAATTTACTGCTATTCTCAGAGAAAAATATATTTCCATAGGCAAAAAGAAGAGACATTAATAATGATTCATCCTTTATATTATTTAGTAGGGATTTATTAATGTCCTTTTTCAAATTTAACTACTTAAAGGCCTAGGCTAACAAATGGATTTTTAGAATCGTATTTTTTTGGAAGTTTTATTTAACATTTCATATTTTTTTACTAAGAAAAACCTAGAATTTTGATATTTAAATCGCCTAGAAAGTTTTTTTTTGATCGGGAAATTTTTTTAGTTCCGATTGTTGAATTTTTATAACGCAGTAATACTCTGAAAATTTTATGGAGTTCAATATATAGATCTTTCACCTTCAGGTTTTTTTTGTAATAAAAGCGGATTATCGAGATTTTTTATATATTCTGTTATGAGTAGGGCTCCCATTTATATGGAAATCCATATTTTTTTCCTGAATTCCTATGACTATGAAACGTACGAAAAACATGTTTTTGGCCTGTTTTAAGATTTCTAGAATGGTCTTTATAA